AAAGAATCCAGACCCATCCCCAGCCTCTTTTTGATGAATGTCCGAATTGAAGGCCAAAAGAAGATTGGCTAAGCAGAGCCCCAACGGGGCTCCCCAATGTAGGAGCTCCGCAACGACCATGCTGCTGACTAAAAAACTAGCAAGCAAAGCTTGGACCTGGATCGGCAAAACATGCATGCAGCACTCGAAAAGACAGAGCCCGACACACATAATGGACAGCTTCATGCATTGACCCACAGGATTGAACAGCACTGGCCCAGTCGATTTAATCCTTGGCAGAAATGCACAGTTGCACACATCGCACCATGGATAAGCAGTGATGCGCCAGCCAATTAAGGCACTGTACAGCAAATTCGGAAGGAGCTTTGGTGTCATGGGACAAGCCACACTCGGACATCCGACGATCCATCGGAACACAGATCGCAGCACCTAGCCACTGTAGCCAGGCACACCTGAAACTGTTTGAGCACCCAACACTCACAATCAGTCGAACCTTCGGCGAGAGAGCTCGCTGGCCGAAAGGTTGCACAGCAAGCTTGCCCGTTCCTCGCTGAACTGCCATGCCTGGAGAGCCTCCCAATGGTTCAGGAAACCATCCTTTGTGCATTCATGGCAGTAGGCAAATTTCCGCTTTCGAAAATCGCCCGGCACGTAGGGGCAATCCCCAACAGGACCCTCAACCTCGATCCTCACTTTGCCTGGGCCAGAAGACTTGGCCTTGGCCTTTGCCTTTGCCTTTGCCTTAGCCTTTCCTTTAGGCTTAGGCTTAACATTCTCCTTCTCACACTCATCCGGCTCCACATCATCTTGCTCGCCATCGCTCTCGTACTCCTGCCCCTTCCACCTTAATATGTGGAGACTCAGTCAAGACCCCTGAACCCTAAACCCAAGCAAAAGACCCTAGCTTAATTCGAGGCTCGAGTATATGAACATAGGCCTGTTCCGTAATTTTAGCAAAACCAAGTGGCTGTGTGCTCGGAAGGAACGGCTTGGCGACCAGGCCCTTCGACATGGTCTCGATGCTGCTCAGCACCTGAGATTAAGAGATGTTGGGGCAAAGTTTGCTTCAGAATCAGGGGTTGGACACATCTATGGCACATCACAGATCAAGTCACTAGTGCAGAAGCAGTACATGAGCAATCCTTTCTGAATCCTTTCTTAAGACAAAGCACCGCTGCTGGAAGCACAAACTGATTGTCCATCTGCTCGGGGGTCTTCTTCAGCTTCTGCTGCTTCATGCGTAAGAAAATAGCATTAAGCTTGTCAACCCTTGCAGCCCGCACAGCACTGTCGCTGGAACTTGCACAAGTGGAAACTTCCGAAGTAGCTGCATCGTCTGCAGCAGTCACTCTGGATGCCACCGAGGTCGGGGAAGCCAGGGAGAGCTTCCGGTACTTCTGCACAAGGCTCCTGGGCTGGTAGGGCTTACCCCTAGAAGCAGCCGCCTTGACATGCATATTGCATAATAAGGATCTCAACACGTAGAGAGCTTGTAGACCCCACTGAAGTCGTAGCCATCGAGCTCGGGGAGTGGACAACCTTACTATGACTGCATGAGTTTCCTAGTTCATACTAATCTATGTTGGCAAGCAGTATTTCACACACAGCATGTTTGCTGGCAGGAAGCTACAGCTGATGCAACATCAGCTTCACAATTGCCCAATGCCTCGAGGGCCTCGACCTCCCCATTGGAACCCGCATCCGAAGCATCATCATCATCATCACTTTCTTCAGCTTCAGACCCAGCATCCTGCATGCAGTGGGAAAGCAAAGTCTCCAGTCTACAAGATTAATATTGCATCATACAGAGTTTCCCTATCCTGTTTGGGCAGGAAGTCAATCAGCTCATCCTTCAGTTCCCCTAGGGCTCGATTGCGCGAAGATCTCGCACGCTGCGCCAGGCGCTTGAACTTGGTTGCCTCGGCTACAAAGTCAGTGAGCCATCCGATGATTGCCGTGAGACAGCACTCATTAAATAACCCAGCAGTCCCCAAAGCTTAGGCACTGAATATGAAGCCATGGACCCTGAATTAATTCCAAATACTCTCTGCGATCTAGCATCCAGCTTCCTGATGGAATTACCCACCTTCAATGCCCAATCTTGCACCGAGGGAGCATTGACACTAATTCCCCGGGGAACTAGCTTCTGGTCGTAATACCACAGCCTCACGGCATCCGCCAGCAGATGTGCACTGTACCGCTTGCGATCTCGGCGGCTGCCACGGAGCACCGCTGCAATCACCTGGTCAGAAAAGTATGATTTCACGATCAAGAGTGTGTGGGGCAGGGTTATAGGGGTTGGGGTTCTCGGGCTATAGTTCAGGTAAGGGGTTGTAAGGGTTCGAGGGTCAGGCTGCATATATGTTAGGGGTAGGATTGTAGGCCCCCAACTCAAACCCTAATTTTAACCCGATCTAATTCTAACCAGGCCCGGTTGCCCTAACCCTAATCCCTATATAGCATTAACCCAACTAACTAACACTAGCCTAACCCTACAATTTAAGGTTCCCTGACCCTAATTGAGTTCCTACCTGAGTAGCTACAGATACCAGCTTATCCAAGTCCTGGCGGGTGAAGTTAACTTAAGAGCCTGCTGGTAATATAATTTATGTACTATATATATATGTATTTATATATATATATAGGCTTAACACCTCTATCGAGCAAATCGGCATATACACCCAATAGTGTTAACACCAATGCATTTCGATCCATCCACACCCTTTTCAATCCTAACTAATATAAACCGACTTCAGCACCATATAGGGGAGGAACATTATCTGTTTACAACCTTATTAGGGTTGCCTTGAGGTTTTTTTTATGTAAATTGATAGGCAAACATGTATGTGTATCATATCAGGATTAGGTTTGTTCAACCGGCCTGGTAGATATTTTGCTTCAGCCCACCCTTCCCCGTACAGTATGTATGCATCAAACTCCTTCTCTACATCGGAATTCTTGAACCCTGTATAATCCTCGGAACCCACTCCGATAGCAGAAGGTTGCACACAGTTGTCTGAGAAGTGCCAACACAGACAAAACCAATCCCAATCCTATGTATCTCAAAAGTTCAGCTGATTGTTTACCACGATCTGGTCCCAATTGTTGAAAGTCTGAAGCTGCAGGCTTGCCGGGTATATGCACATATATATGTGCATGTGTATGCATTTACATGGGCATGCATGTGTTTGTGTGTGTGTGTGTGCGTGTGTGTGTGTGTGTGCGTATTCCCATGTGTGTTTGCATATAATGCACACATGTATGCCTGTGTGTCTGCATGTGCTGTGGACACATTTCAATTGGCATGCTAATACATGTCCGGATGCCTATACAGTGCATATGTGCAAATTTCATATTACCTTTGTACACATGCATGAATTTATGCCAACATATGTATGTATGCATGCATGCATGCATGTATGCATGTCTGTCTGTACACATGTCTTAAATGTATGCATGCATGTACATGCATGTATATCTATGTAGGATATGTATATCATTTGTGCATGTATATATATATATAAACATCCTGTTGAATAACATTGTCGGTTGGGGCATCGGGGTCTTAGACCTTACTAGTTCAAGCCAACGATAATAAATGCATTGATTTCGATGGCTTGGAAATTTCTATCTTTATGCAGATGTATAGAAAGTGTTCATATCTCTCTGAAGCATGTGTTTCTGTCTCTCTCTCTCTCTCTCTCTTCTCTCTCTCTTTCTC